AAATACCTTTGCAGTAGGAGGTACCGTTTTATTTCAGCCACTCAGCCAGCTGAAATCCCTGAACCTTAACTTTAGGGTGTTTGGTGATTGCATGTATGAAACATGCACATTAGGCATCCATGGTATCATCTATTCAATACATCTTAAGTATTGAGTTCAGGATGTTTTTTAGCTCACCATTTGATAAACATTTTGTCAACTAAATAAGCTTGTAAACCATAAAGACAGTACTGATTTGAAACTCAATTCAGTCACCTACACATGGACATCTAGTTCCTTCTGAGGCAAAGTAGTTTCCTTTTATGGAACTGGCAGATCGATTAAGACTCAGCCCTCAGCTGCCCTTCCAGGAAACTAGAAAAGAAATATCTGGGGCAGTCTGAAAGATTTCCCGACCATCTGAAATATCTCTTTGTGTAATTAAATTGAGATTTTTACCTCCCTAGATGATAATGGAAGCTTTGCCAACCTCAAAATATTTACAGACGCTTCAAGTGACATCTCTAATGATGACATCTCCAAGTCTCAGCTCTCATCTGTAGGTCTAGTGTAATTTGAAATGCCCTCCCTACCTCCAGCCACGAGATTGGAAGAGCTCGTTTCCTATCAGTCTTGTATCACACTTGACAGCCCAATGAAGATGTTTCAGTTCCTTGAGGAATCAAGCAACTGAGTAAAGCCTCCAGCATCCAAAACTTCAGTTACTCCTACAGATAACAAAAATCTAGTCGGGATCAATAAGAAAAATTCAAAGCAGTATTGCTAAAGAATTTGCATGTCTAAATCCAAAATCACTTCAACAATTCTCATTAGCCAAGCAGTCACTGGATAAAAGCACTAATGTTTGGCACTTGGGCAGACCCCCGAGTTGTCCCCTCCCTGCTAAGAGCCCTAACCAAGAAGTTACAGACAAATTCACATTTGTGTTTTATAACAACTACAGTAAAGCATTATTTTCTATATGTGAAATAGTTTCTGAAATACAATTATCCAGATCCATTGTAATCTTTTATATGTAAACTTGATCTGAAAACTATGTATGTAAGCACTGTTTTTGTCTTGTGTATCTAGAAGAATGGGGATATAACAGTGAATTCTCAAAGCACTGGATGAATTTGAAACTGGGCATCCCAGTTCGTGCCTGTGTATACGAACAATTTACGCCCTGCTTGAAAAGGGGAACAGCAGCTCAGTAACCCTTTTCTCTTCTGCTGTTTTTAAATGAAACTGTAAACCATATCTAATTTAGAAAAAAAAAAAGGTGTGTAGACACCAGCCACACCAGCCATCGGGGTGAGCAGTAAGGAAGTAAATTGCGAAGGCAGTAAATCAATTGTAAAAGAGGGATGAGACTTTAGTGCATCAACGCTCTCTGTTTCCTCTTTGGTTTTGGGAATCTTCTGTTCCTTAGATAGGCCTGGGTGGTGTCACACACACCATCTTGAGTTTTCTGGGCCACACTCTAATTCCAATGATGCATCTTCAGGCATCTCACATTTCTTTTTCAAGGATCAAAAAAATTTTAGGTATTTAGGTATTGCAATTTTAATATTTAGGTATTGCAATGCCTGTTGCTTTGATGCCTAAACTCAGCTGTGGTATTTAGCCTCATATGTCTTCTTTTGTTACTTATCTCTAAGCACTTTTTATGAGGCAAATTGTAAATTTTCTATTTTGGGACTTCTTTTTGAATTAAGACTCATAACAAGCTGCACTGCATGTATAAAGCAATACATCACAAGTCCTCTCAAAGAAGAAATATTCATGGAGCAGTCACTTAAATACAGCGTTGATTAAACCAAACAGCTAACATGGACAAATCTAGAATGAACACAACTGTCTCTTCACCCTGTCCTGCGTGTCAGGCAGCAGCAGGAGCAGGCAGCTGTGTAAAGGGGGATGAGTTGAGGGTGGAGGCCTCCCAGCACTGCCCAGTCACACAGCACCCCAAGTAGCACAGCAAAGCCAGTTCAGTGGCAGTGACCATATGCAGCCATGAGTTCAGATCACCAGACAAGTCCATAGCGATGAGATAGGTTGAGTCTGAGGTCAGTCTCAGGATGGGTGATGTTCACAAGCGTATGGTCCACGCAGATCCAGCAAGCAGAAAGGGCAGGAGCTGGACCAAGAGGAGTAGGCTCCCACTGAGACACCTCACAGCTTTGATTCACTCAGCTCTTCTGGAAGAGAAGACCCACGGTCACTGCAGAGCTGGCCCTGAGTGCCAGCAGGCACACTGATGGGGCAAAGCATTTGCCAAGTCTCCTAAGGGCCTCCCCTCAGGGCCTGGACACTGCGATCCAGAAATAACACCAATTCTAGTAGCTGAGGTACTTCAGAGTTAAGAGCTGTGAGATTGGACCTTCTCATGCTGAGAAGTGCTAAAAAGCAGATCTCCCTCTTTCTGGGTAGGAGCTCTGGTCACAGCATATGAAAGTGGCCACCCTGAGCTCTTTGGTTGTGCTCTAGAAGAAAACTGTGGCAGTAACCTACAGGCAGAGGTGCTGGTGCCTCCCTTTGTATGAGGATCCAGAGCCTGTCTCTGGAGGGAACAGGGACTCCTGCCTTGCAGCCTTGCCTTACTAAGGGCAGCAGTTGGGATGAGAGTAGAGAATAGGGGGAATTCAGGCATGTAATCTTTGCTATTTGCTATCTTACAGATATTTTTAGCCATTTTCACTGGTATTCTGTCTCTTTCGTGAACATGTGATTCTGGAGTTTTTATCAGTCCGAGTGCCTAGAACTGAATACTGATATCCTTGCTGATGCTGGAACTCATCACTGCACATAATGCTTCCTATTCTGTGCTCTTCCTACTCTGAGCTGTGATTCTGTGATTTCAGTACTAGAAAAACTAATTTCTTTCACTATTGTATGATGACAATTATCCCTTTCCTCCTCTGTTTGGCTAATTAATGCAGCTTAACTATCCCTTCATGATGCTGAAGACTTCTGCCAGCAGAGCAGGAGCTGCTGCTCAGGTTCTTTGCCACCTTGCCTGGCAACAGATGCTGATCTGCCTCCTGCTGATCCTTGCCTCCAAGACTGATGCACTTTGCAAAGGTGTGGCAAGGCCGATTCTCTGCAACTAGATTTTTGTTTGCCAAAGAAAAGCTCATTTGTTTGCTTTCTTTTTTTTTCAGGACCATAAAACTCTTCAAAATCATGTGTAAGTAAATACATGAAAAATGATACTGAAAATAGATTTGGCAAAGAATGAGGCACTAGTATTGCTTAATAGAATACACTTACAGGACTTTGCAGAAAAACATATTTTCCTCCTTCAAAATATCTTCCCTGAGACCATAAAATCCTTAACAGCATGAACTTAAAAAAAAAAAAAAAAAAAAAAAATCAAACTTTTATGTTTAAAAGAGTACTATGAGTACCAAAGGGTACTAGGCCTGATTTTCTGTTTTGTGATATGTGAATGACAGCACAGGAAAATGAGGTTAGTGTTCAAACTCAAAGTCCCAGTCTAACTTTTATTACTGTGAACTGCTTAAGATTAGAAATGTTCAATTATAGATCTGCAAAAGGTAGATTGCACAATATTAAAGGCATTAATTTCATAGCATAGATCATCCTGTTTTGATCCTCCTGAGCCAGTCCTCAAATTCTTACTCATTTCCTGACTCCTGAATCATGAAAGCAGTTGAATGCTCTTGATTTCAGTGAGATTTAAGCATACATTTGTGTTTTAGAACAATTTAAGCATACGTTTGTTGATTTGACAGAGAAATCAGAGAAAATCCTGACCAAAACCAGTATATATTTTTTCCTTTTTTTCCTTCCCATTCCTCTTGCCTTCCTTCCCCTTCTCTTTCCACCTTTTTTTCTCCTCTCCTTTCTTTTCTTCTCCTTTCCTTCCCCCTCTTCTTTTTCCTTTTCTTTTTTATTTCTTTTTCTTTTCTTTCTCCTTTTAGTTTTCTCTTTTTTTGTCCCCCATATTTGAGTCTACACATCTTGAAGCTGAGAATGCATGTGTTTGGTCATTGTTGCTACACGTCACTCCCTGCCCAAACCAGTTCTTTCACTTGAGCTGTTTAATCTGCAGCTAGTAATATTAGTGGCAAGAGGAATTTACCAGAAGGGGTAACGCTGGAGTAGGTGGAGACATGATGAGATTAAGGTTATAATTATTTGTTGCAGGTGTCACATTTTCTGTTTGCACTTAAGCACTAAGTAGAAAGGCACATTTTTTGTTCTATCCCGTGATATTTTTTTGTTTGTTTGTTTTAACCCTAGAGTTAAATGCACGGGATGTCCTTCAGTTGTCAGTGCCCATGGCTTTATCTCTGTTCTCCACTCTGGTCTCCGGCACACGCTGTGCCTTCACGAGAGCTGTAACTGCTGCTGAGATTCTTAGCAAGAGGCCCGCGGTTTGCCGAAGCAGCGCATCCATGGGGAAATGACGGTTCTGTGGAGATTTCCAGCAAAGCGACAGCTGGGTTTGGAGCGGGGTGGACTGATGGAGGATGTAGCAGAAGATGTGCAACAGCCTTCAGCTCTCGTTGGTGTCCCTGCCGAGGGCAGGAAATCCCCCACATTTTCCGGGTGTCTCTGCATTAAAAATAACTTCCTTCGGTAACAACGTCCTGCCTTTCAATTTCCCACTGGGAAAAGCCTGGATGCACGTCCTCACTTCTCTGAGATGGCTCAACACTCTGGGAAGTGGGAAGAAGCTCTGATTCACCACCGCTTCATCATTCCCGACTGAGGGCGTTCCTCGTTCTCTTTGCGGGGTTCGGTCAGCCGCGGGGTTCCACTCGGGACCCGAGTTCTCCTGGCTCACAGATAGGAGTAGAGGGAACGGGGGAGAGGACTGACGTTGAACTGGGAGGATTTATAACGAAAACCGAAAGAAATCCCGTCAGGGGGAGGGCGGACGGGCGCGCGGCGGAACGCTCGTTACGGGGCCGAGCCCCGCGGCGGGAGCGGGCGGCTGCGCACCCCGCGCGGCGCCGTCCCTATGGCAACCGCCGCGGAGCTGCCGAAGGATGGCGGCCGGGGAGCGGCGGGGTGCGGCGGGCTTCGCGTTCCGCCCCCTGCCCCAGAAAGCCTTTCCCTGCCTGCAGGATAGGGACGTCCGGGAGCGGCTGCTCAAATGGTGGGAGGGGGGAGGCCCGCCGGGCCCCGGGACGGACAGAGCGGTGGGGAGAGGCGGGGAAGGCGCGTGTGGCGCGGAGGGCCGCGGCCGGCTCGGGCTCCGCGGGGCCGCGCTCTGGCGCCGAGGCGAAAGGCGCTGCTCGTCCCCGGCCCTCAGCCCGACGCAGCCCGCGGTGCTGCCGGGCGGCCGCCGCGCCCGCCTTCCCCTCCGAGGAGCGGTGAGGGGTGTCGGTGAGGGCGGAAAGGACAGAGGAAAACCTCGAGTCCGGTCGGTGCGCTGAGCACCGAGTGAGCGACGCACCCGGGCGGGCCTGCGGCGCGGTAAACAGCCAGTGCTGTGCGCGATATTGCTGCTCGTTTTCTCCATTTCAGGTCAATGCAAGGCAGTATCGCAGCACAAGCGTTCAGCTTCGACCAGCAGTTTAAGCCCTATCAAAAGGATGAGTTCGTTATGGTAGTTTTGAGCTCTTTATATATTGAACACTTTTCGTTCTCCCACTTTGAAATGATACCTGTTGGAAGCCGACGAGATGAAAAGTGCTGGAGTGGTGTTACTGCTCCCTGCCTGCTCGCTTTCCCCTTGAAAGCAGGTGGTGGAGGCATGGTGCCCGAAGTCGTGTTTTGTGGGCTAACTGTGCTGTTCTCTGAAAGTATTTCAGTCTGTCCTCATGTTACTCTGTTCTAAGACGGAACAGTTTAGTTATTCCAGCCTCGGAATGGCAATCTGAATTGGATGCTGGCTTTAGCCACCACACTTCAAGTTGGGAAATCTGCCCGAGGTCTGACTTTACACAGCTTACGTGCAGTCTGTCTCTTAGCTCACAGCTGTGACTGCTGTGCACTGGTAAATACACAGTGCAGCCAGGCGTGGTACCACGTCTCTGAAAATTGTGATGTTTTTAAATTAACTGGATACCTTCATTTATGGTAGATTTGTGAGCTTTCGGCTTTCTGAGACTCAATTATCTTGCTGACTTGTTCTCGACTTGTCTGCAAATCTGTTCATCTGGTTGCGAGTAGAAAAAAATCACAGAATGGTTTGTGTTGGAAGTGACCTTAAAGATCATCTTGTTCTACGCCCCTGCCATGGGCTGGTTGCTCCCCACCAGCTGAGGCTGTCCAAGGCTCTATCCAGCGTGGCCTTGAGCAACTCCAGGGATGGGGCAGCACAGCTCTGTGGGCAGCTGTGCCACAGCCTCACTGCCCTCTGCCTGACATCTACCCAAATCATCATCTAGGACTTTAAAAACAGCATGTTTTTGGGTTTTTTTTTAAACTTTGTTGACTTAGAAACTTTTTATTCAGTTTATGTCTACTTTCTATTGCCGTCTTGGTTGAATAATTGGGCCTCTTGGTATTTTAAAGGAATTCAGATGGAAATATACCAATATTTCATCTCCCACTGAAAAACATTGCAAATGATTGAAGTTTTCCAAGTATGCATTTAGGTTTTCAATGCTTGTCTCTTTTGAATTAAAAGTTTAAAAATTTCACTAAGAAATGATAAATTCTCAGTAGCTGTCAATTAACTGAGAGTGAAAAAAACATTATTTTACATAGTCTGATCTCTCTGTGTCCCTGAAAGGTGATAAAGAGATTTGATGATGTGGAGACTGAAAAATCCATCATTTTCTTTAGCAGTTTTTTAGTGACTTTTCACTCTGGTTGTGAACATATGCATAACTATATGTTTTCTTAACTGACTTATCTATCATTTAAACTTGTTGGCTGTCAACAATACTATGCATTTTTCTTTTTTATTGATATGAATTATTAAGATGCAGTATTCAAATCTCACTGTCGGATGTTTTTTCCATCCCTTCAATAACATAATTGGGTATTTTGCATCTGTTGAATCATTTCTATCTGTTTACATTTGACCACGCTTCAACTTTATTTACAAAATGTAAATTTTAGCATTTCTTTTTTTTTTTTTTTTAATTTCTAAAGCATTCCATGCAGATGTAGAAATCTTTCATCCCTTTTTCCTTTTTCTGAACTTCCAAGGACTTCTTTAATCTTTTTTGTCTGTTGCTGGATTGTAAATCCTTAATGTAAAATCTTCATATTACACATATAGATGCTGGTGAGGATATCTGGCATATATAAAGGACTTGAGCTACACAGAGTTACAGAAACATGTATCTATGTTGATGCAAATGATGCAAAATACCCAATTATGTTATTGGTATCTGGTGGTATTTGGTATCAAACTGAAAGATCACACAGCATGTACTTACTAATTGGATCCCTGCAGTTTGTTTTGAAAGAATCTATGGCACTATCTATGATGATTTTGTGTTTAATTAAATTAACTCTTATTCTCTTATTTGAATATTATAGGCGTTTTTTAATGATCAGAATGTGATCTCCAATTTAAAGTTGCTCTCAGCTTCAGGACATTGGACTACATTGGGTAACTTTAGAATAAATTAATCTTTTAAAAATATCTGTGTTGCAACTATTTTCTGCTCATTTACCACTTCATAATGACAATTCATATATCTGTATCTTCATCTGATTGAAGTACTTTTAAAATGACTTCTTATCCTAAATAATAAAAGGATTTTTATTTAGTTTGTTACTAAATTGTCAAATTTTACACATTTTTTCCTCGATGCCTGCATTGATTCATAAAACAAGCTACTAAAGCTATTTTTGCTCAGTTCACCTGACTGTGTATGCAGACATTATCAACTTCTTCTTCATTTGAACAAACTGAATTATGATTCTACCTTATTTGGAGATAACATTTCAGGAGAGACACTTCTCAGTAGATGCAGCCACTTAACTTAGGGCTGTAGGTTACTGTTCTCTTACAAATTAAAGTTGAATGAACAGAAGATTAGATAGTGTATTTAGACAAGCTCAGGGCTCTCTATCCCTACAGTAAAAGTTACCTAGGCACAGAGGATGATCCGTATGATAGGTTACTGTAGTTGCAATTGTGGCATAAAATTGACTTCTTGTTTGTTACCATATCATTATATACCTATAATGCTTGATTATGTCTGTAGATGCAGGTGAGACTGTGAAGGAGAAGGTCCAAAAGCAAATAGCATGTAATTTTATAGCAACACTTGAAATTGCATTTTTGATTATGTAAATGAAAAAATGTCATGGAAACTGCATATGATAACATGATGGGATTTTTTATGTAATGTGAGCTCTGCTATCTCCAAAGTGATTCTCTTTAATAGGAATATTTTGGAAGGGTATTGTGTGAAGTCCTTCATTCTTTTGACTTGTCTGCAAATAATTTACTGTGTGTGAATATTTCACAGGGCACTGGGAATTTTCTAGCTTTTCCATTTTGTCTCTGGATTTGGAATACAGGTTTTCCCCACTACAAACTATCTGGCTATTAAAACAATTAAATTGCATAAGAAGTGGGGGAAAAAAAATCTCACATTCCTATTCAGGTACCTCCTTTTCACTCTGTCAGGCAAAAAGAGGACAGATATGTTTCAAAGCATGGGTAAATCTTTTCCTGCTTTGGACAAGAATCTTTGTAGACTATCTGTCAAGCCTGTAGTGAAGGTCAGTAGGTTACATACCTCATGTTAAGAGCGGAGGGTTGCTTGCCAAGTATCTCAGCATAACTCCTGATTCTGCTCAGTCTTCCTCTGTACAGAAGTAAAGCATTTTGTTCTGAGGACTGGAGGAGTTCCCTTTTTAAATCCTGAACAGCTGGTATACCCCATTTGCTCCTAAAGATTCATCTTCCCTTTCTTTGCCTATTTTTGGTGAGGAATGTTGGCACATTTTTCTATACTTAGTCTTCTTGTGCATTTTTTGAAAATATAGTAAGAATTTGCTTTGAGTAGGAGGTACAAAATCATCTGGTGTTTTCTTCTGACACTCCGATATGTTAATCCAGATACACAATTTACTTGCCAGTATGGAGTACCTTTTTTAAAAAAAGCTCCTATTCCTGAATGAAACGTCAGAAATTGGATTTCATTGCTTTGTGGAAAATCTGAAGAAAATGATACAATATAGGTTGACTCTAATACTGTGTTTAGTGTCTTGCAAACAAAACAGTGAGATTTCATTGCAGGGGATGGTGCACCATGTGAGCGGGCTTTATGTTGGTTCTTAGCAACCTCTCCCTTCTCCCCAGCATGAGCTGGGGCTGAAACTATTTATAGACTCACGGAAAAAATCTGTCAGCTTTCTATAAAACATCAGCGTAATGTTGCTTTACAAAGGAGAGTTTTTTCATAATCCTTCTGCATTTTTCAGGCTGCCGTCCCCTGTTACCTTCTCAATGAGAATGTGTTTGCTTTATGAATTCAGTGCTTGTGGTTTCACTTTCATATTTATCTCCACCTCTTCTCTGTTACTTGTCCATCTCCTTTCTCTAAAATATGTCTCTAAAAGTTCCTTATCGCTCTTATTTTGTTGTCCAATCTCAGTTTCATTCCCTTTCTGCTGCTTTTTATCCTCACCTTTATTTTATCAGACCATAATGTCCTCAGTCTCCATCTGTTAGATCAAATAGTGGTGCTCTCCCTGGGGAGAGCAAAGCATCCCTCTCTCATCAGCTGCCTTACGTGTTGGGATTCCCAGTAGAATCCCACAACAGTATTTCTCTCAGTGACACTTCAGGTAAAGAAACAAGTTTATTCTCTTTTATTTCTTCTGATTAGACAGATACTTCATCACTTCTTCTCACACTGTGCCCTTTTGCCTGTGTGGTAGGGATGTTTTTTTCCTTTCTTCCCAATCCTGTAGCAGAGTGCATGAGAGTTCTTCATGTGCTTTAAGCTTCCTTCGTCTCTTACTCTCATATTTCTAAAATAGAAGCAGCACAAGGAACACATTTGATGCATTCCCACTTATGTATCGTCTCTTGTATTTTTAAATAGCTTCAATGAAAACTAAATAGTGTTTTTTCTTTTGACACACTACTGGCCTTGCACCTGTCAGCAGTCTGAGGGGGCAGGACTGTATCTGCTTAAGCTCAATTAACACTTGAAAAGTTATCTTCAAAGGGATAGGGATGCTTGCTTTTTTCCCCTAAGTAAAAATTTAGTATTTCCCTAGGTAAGACTCGGAGTTGTGATAGGAACTTGAAGCTCTAATGATTTCTGTCTTTGGAATTGGGTTTAATAATCTGAGAGGCAATCTTAAATCAGTATTTTTTAGAGTGCTGCTGCAGGTTTTCATTTACAAAAATTCTAGATGTCATTTGAACCTATAGAAACTGTACACTGTCACGCTTCACCTTTTACTTTTGAAGTACCATTTTTTTTATTACTGAGTACAGAACTTGCTTTCTGTATGTTCTATATCAGCTGTTCTGTAAATAGTAAGTTGCACAAGGTTTCCCTGAGGTACAAATCTTTTTTAAATATTGGACGAATTCTAGATATGTCTGATCTGGGGTTTATCTCCCCTATACCATGTATGTGACATGTTCATTTAAAAGTATTTTGGCAGCACTTTATAGATGTCCCAGAACTAAGATGTTTCGCTTCAGTACTTCTCAAGACATCTCTTCTTCCTATTTTATGGCTCACTTTTATAACACTGTAAAACTGGTCACTCTTTTCCAGGAAATTCTGAATCTCGAGGTTCAACTCTCAAGTCTCAGATGGAGAATAGGGGCTTCCAGCGCATTCGAACTTTTCCACTTGCAGTTTACTTTTCTGAACTACTGAATAGGACACAAACCCTCTCCCTTTCCCCAACACAAAAACCTGTAATAGCTCAGTTTCTTATAACTTGAGCTGAATAACTGGGAAAATATGTCTCCTTTATTTCAAGTCATTTGATATCTGATTTTTATTAATCTTGAATCGGTTTTTGATTCATAGGTCTTTACAGAACAGTTTCTATGTTAGAGGCTGATTTAGCTTGTTTTAAATCTCATAAAATTAAATTTCTATTCCTGTGAAAGGAATCCAAAGCACTAGAAGTTAGAGGAGCCTGTGGGTAAAGGACTGGAAGTTAGTGAAAATGAATAAATCGGTGAAGAAAAAAACCTCTTTTTCCCCTTAGGTTATAAGGCCTGAAGTCATGCTTTTCCCATCTGACGGTTTCGGATGTGTAATTTGACTTGATAGTTTCTGTATGGGCAGCTAAGAGAATGTCCAAAACATTTGTTATTGTTTTTTAATAACCAAAGGTACCTTTTTTTCATATCATATCTTTGGATGTGAAGCTAAGCAATTAAACACCAAGCATTTCACTATAACTCACTTTCTCTACATCATATTGACATGCAAGTTGTTTTTTGGGTTTTTTTTGTTTTGCTTTTTTAGCTCAAATAAACATATTTTCAAGCATATTTTCAAGCTCCTCTTTAATTGTTTTTGTTAGAGTGGATTGGATAGGTGGTAGGAATTCTATGGATTTATGAATCAAAATGCTGATCTGAATTAATCTATGAATAACTTCTATGGATAGTATCTGGGAGAAACGTCAGGGATTGTTGGAAACATAGAGGGAAGAGAAATGTTAGCTTATGCGACATGTGCAAAGATTAGGATCAGAAGGAAGTGAGACATGGGCTTAGAAGCATTACAGTTCATAGACCCCCCTCTTTTTTTTTAATTTATCACAAAAGGCTTCAAGGGAATCTTTCCTTTCTATTCCAGATTCCAAAGTGACGAAAATTGAAGCTACATTAGTGCCCTGTACACAGACTTCCATGTCATTTTTTGATCGGCTCTACACTGAAGGAATTGTTAGAGAAAATGGAGTCATTGTAAAATGTTACGATGAATATTACGATGATATCCTTATCTCTGATGAATTAAGGAAGGTCAGTACTGCAGTGAGTGACCCCTACAATGCTGTGATTCTGTTAGATACTGAAGGACATGTTTCCAGGGTTTTGAATTTTTTTTTTTTGGGCGATGCCTTTGAAGATAAAAATGGGAATCATTACCATGTGATAGAAATGACTGAGGCACTGCAGTAACCGAGAGTGTCAAGACATGAAGCTGTTTTCCACTTGGGCCCTCTTCCCTCTGTAAGTGGGAGAAAAAGGTAAAAACAACTTCCACCTGCCCTTTTAACAATCAGTCACTGCTTGGGTGTGTGTGGAGAAATCCAGATACTCTTTATCCTAGATGGGGAAGACAAATGGTGCCAAGGGAGAAGTCCCATGGTGCCCAGACCTGCAGGCTCACCCAACTGTCCCTCCAGCTAATGAAATTGTATGCACTCGATAGCTACATGCTGAAGCATTCCTGGCTAGGAATGCTGACCATATCATATGTGAAAAGTATTGTGATATTTTGAGCTGAAACAGAGGAGAGAAAACTAAGAAAAGGAAAATGATTTTGTAGTGCAATACTGGAATTACGTATAACTCTTAACAGGCCTGCAAGGTAAAAATTCTTTTTGTCACATTCCACTGGAGCTGTCAGAGAGCAGATGATTCTGGAAAAGAATCTAAGAGTGTCACTATCTTAATCAACATATGTCTTCACTGTGTTTCTTTTGACTTCATAAGCTAAAACAAATTTTTATTACTTATGTTTGTTTAGCATTAGCAAAACACAGTGTGGGAGAACTGGATTTTGCTCTTCCTTGTATATATAATCATCTTAAGTACTTAATAATTATAGAGTTGCACTCGTTTGCACTTGGCAAATCCTTTGAAGACGATATGTTTGAACCAGTGACACTGGTTACAGGATGTGACCTGAAATACTGGTCTGTCTTGTAAAGTTCTGGGAAAAGGAGAGATCTCAAGCTCAGGTTTGAATTTCAGTTATGGTTTGTAGCCTAGCAGCTCAAAATACTTTCTATTTACTTACAAGTTGGGTGTGTGTGAAATGTTTTCTGAAAATTAAGTGTATTTGATGTAATAAAGTTAGAGGCAACATTTAAAATAAGTAATTGGAGTTTTGGTCTCTTTTCACTTTCCTTCCCTTGGAAGATATCCACGTGGCTGCTTTTTTAATTTGAAAGATTCGTGTTTGTTTGTTAGAAATGATGACTCCTACTCATAAGACTTAAGATGGCAGAAAGAATTAAGAGTCAAAATCTTCCACGATCAACTTCAAAGCCGCAGGCTAAATTAGTCAGCACTCTAGGATGGTAGACTGTAGGGGGCATCAGCTGCAAAACTTCATGTTTCATTCCTACCCGCCATGGCTTCTTTTATTCCAGCCAAGAAGGAGATTGTTGTCCTGGCCCTTTTTTGCCCAGACATGCAATGATGTTATACAGAGGGCCACACAGCACTAAGCTCGAATCTATCTTAGACCTGTTTGTCTGTATCTGTGCTGCTATCTGCAGTTTGGCTGATGTGACTCAATCATTAGTCGTGCTCTTACGGTTCCTGTCCACCCATACAGCTGGCAGTGTTGGGACTAATCTTGCAAGACCCTCTGTGTTCACATAATATTGGAGCAGAAGATGGGACACATGGAAACAACTGGATGGCATGTCTTGCTTATCTGCACTGCAGATTAATGCTCACTGGAATTGGCAGTAAAGAGTGCTGTGAATTCCAGTGATCTCCTCTGGGATTCCTCTAGGAATGTGAGCTAACTGTGTAAGTTTAGAGGCAAAAAGCAAATGTGGTCAAAATTACCAAAGGCAAACTAATCAACACTGATCAACTGACCAAAATAGCCAGATTATTTTCAGATTATTGATTGTTTCATTTGCATGGTGAGCATTTAACTAATGTATTACAGGACTCCTGAAGGGTCTTCCATTAGAACTCATGAGCACAAATTTGACAGTCTGTGATTCTGCTTCTTATTGCATCTACAAATTTTAAACATAACTGAAAGAAGCATTTAGAAAAAAGCACTTACTTCCATCCCTACCTCATATATTTTATATGAACACAAACTCTGTATGACATAAAGCAAAGTAGCTGTACTGTTTATATACTTCATCTCAAATAAGGTTTTTCTGTTTTGTCTATTTTACTACTTTTACTGTTTCCTTGTTTCATAAGGTTTTGCTTCTGGAAGATTCAGATCATTATGACATATTTAGTGAATCAGACCGCAAGGAATTTCTGTTCTGTCTTTTTAAACATCTTTGTATTGGAGGAACTCTGTGCCAGTTTGAAGATGTACTTGGCCCATACTTAGAAACTACAAAGGCTTTATATAAAGACTTGGTGAGGTGAGTGTTTTCACTTTTATACCATTGTGTGTGTGCGTGCTGTGCATAGGTATTTGTGTCAGTCAGTGGGATTGTTCAGTCTGGAGAAGAGGAGGCTCAGAGGAGACCTCATTGCACTCTACAACTTCCTGTGGTGAGGAGGGGTTTGGCCTCTTCTCCCAGGCAACAAACAGGATCTGAGGAGAAGTCCATAAGTTGTACCAGAGGAGGTTTAGGTTGGACATGAGGAAGAACTTTTTCTCTCAGAGAGTGGTCAGGCACTGGAATGGCTGCCCAGGGAGGTGGTGGAGTCGCCGTCCCTGGCAGTGTTCAAGAGGCACCTGGATGAGGAGCTGCGAGATGTGGCTTAGTGCTTGTGGTGGCAATGGTGATGGGAGGACGGTTGGACTGGATGACCTTGTAGATCCTCTCCAACCTTGTGATTCTGTGATTCTATGATTCTAAGTGTGCATTACTGCTTCAGACATAGGGCTTAATAAATCTGCAAGCTTATTTGCGTTCAACTATTAAAGTACTCTGAAACAATGGTAGTAGTTCAGTGGCAAAATATATGCAGTTATAATGGCAGCTGTCCTTTGTAGAATCTTTTTGTTGTATCACACAAATGACCGTCGGTGTTTTGTATTTCACTTTTGTTTTAAAGATTTTTGTTTCTATAGTCCTCTAATGAAAACGTTGCATGCCATTGGAACTAGGTTGTGTTCCCACTGTCATTGCTAAAACGTCAACAATTGGTCTCGGGTAGATAGCCTTGCACTACTGCTGAGCTATTCTGTTTTAGGATTTAAAAATTGAAACATGTTAGTTGAAATGTTTAGTAAATCCATCTAATTATTGCTTTTTAAATTAAAAATGGATTTTGGCATGCTTTATTCCAATAATATACTTTTTGTAAAAATAAGGATGGTAGAATCTGACTGTTAGGATTAACCAGTGAACTAACACTCACATTTTTTGCCAGGACTGCTGTATAGAATTGTTAACATATGTTGTGATTGAGATTAGATATGACTGACTGGAGATGCCAATTCAGAAAAGAAAAAAAAAAAAAAGCCATTTTTCCATTTTTCTCCCATACGAGGACTTCTTTAACTAGCAACATTTCTTACTTCCTTCTTAGTGGAAAGTGGAACGTAATGGTCAGTTGTGCAGAGACTCTTTCCAGTCTGAGCTGATGGGAATGTGAAGGTCATTGCTAATACTACAAAAATTTTATACTATATTCTTATTCTCTATTTTACTACTCTTACTAAATTTTGGTGGGACATGAAGAACAATGTGAACCTAAGCAATGGAAAACAATTACAGATCTCTGAAATGTGACAAAGTATTTATGTTATCAGACTTCTTGTACTTTGTAATGTATTAGAATGAACCATACAAAGACTTCAAATTACTTAGAGTAGGATTTCTTTTCTATTCAGCTGTATTGCCAGGGGAGATTCAGGCTGGACGTTAGGAAATGCTACTTTTCTGAATGGGTGGTCAGGCGTTGGAATGGGCTGCCCAGGGAGGTGGTGGAGTCACCGACCCTGGAGGTGTTCAAGGAACGTCTGGATTTTGTGTTGAGGGACATGGTGCAGTGAGAACTATTGGTGATGGGTGGATGTTGGACTGGGTGATCTTGTAGGTCTTTCCCAACCTTGGTGTTTCTGTGATTCTGTGATTTAGAATGGTCTGAATATCAACTGTTATTTCATCTCCTGTTTAAGATTATACACATAAACATTAGAAAACAAACTGTAAGTTATATTCCTCATTAGATCTGTTCTTAAAATGCCTTTCATTAAACAAGAATAAAATCTTTCTATCTGAACAAAGATGAAAGGATTAGAGCCAGTGACTCTTAGACACCTGAATATCTCTTGACTTAAACCAAGCCATTCACTTTCTTGCTTCTTTTGGCTGCTGTTGTTTTTCCTGAACATGTCAGTTTTGTTCTGAGCCACTCCTCATCTTTCCCTTCATGTCTCCCTAAGCCTTTTTCCCTTCCTTTTCCTCCTGTAAACTGACAAGGATGTTAAGTAGTTCTTATTATCCAGTCCCCAAATCCCCCCCAAAAAAGGGAAAGCCCCTCACCTTTTTTGCTTTTTCTATTTTCTCAACCTGTTCCCTATTTTCCCCTTTAGGTATTTTCTCTTTGTGCTACATCTTCCCTTTACTTTATAATAGCATAAACTATTTCCAGGTCTGATTGGTTTTTTTGGGTTTTTTTTTTTTTTTTTTTTAGTTCGTTGGTTCTGTTTGTTTTTTTGTTATTTAACGTTGTTTGTTTTTGTTTTACTGTTTTCAGCTTGCTTTCTATCCATCAAAGTTTTAACATACACCTATCCACTCCTAATGATGCAACTGTTCTTTGGTATTTATCTACTGTGTGTCTCTCCATTTTCGTGCCTGCAGTGTCTGTCGATTTCTCACTGCCAGGGACTGGTATTTGCACTGCTTACCAGTTGAAAAAGTGAGTCACAAGATAACTGAATCTTTTATCTTGCTCCTTTGATATTAAGTTCATGTCTAACCAGAGGAGCTTTCAGTCTTGACATTTCCGACCTTCTCTCCCAGATCACAGTCACATTTATCTCTTCCTTTCCTTCATTTCATCCTGCCCATAGTTTATCCAGAATGTGAGGTGGTTGTTGCTGCTGTTGTTACTACCTTATTAAGAGAGAAAAAGCCATTAAAGGGTGAATAATGCAGCTTTGAAGAGGTACCCTTGTACACCAATTTTGACTGAATTGATTTCTGATTTCCAGTCTGCACTGTACGGTTTTTTACTTCATTTTTTGCACAAATAACACCATACAGTAAAGCAATTAAAATTACTTCCTTATGATCTCTGTAGTTTCAAAAAACAACAGTTCACAGCAGCAGTGGTCCTTTAAACTCTTTAACCAAACCGTTCACCTTCAAACTTCTGTCGAAGCCCAACTATTTTTAAATCCTTCTATTCTAGACAGCTACCCTCTGCCTGCTTTTGTTGCATCCTGGATTGCAATCTTATTGGATACATTCTGCTCTTTGAAATATGATACTGAAAACTTATCATGGTGTTAAGAAATTCTGCGGACTGTACTCTTTTTAAATTATTTTTGTCTTGGCAGCTCCTGAGCTTGGTAGAAAACAAATGGACAGGACAATAATTACTGGCTGTTAGCGAATGTGTGTTGAAACACTGCCTGGCACCGATGGCTTTAGTCAAATCGTGATATAACTGTAGACATGTACACACGTTGGTGCTTGGTCCACAACAGTTTTTTCTTAAGCAGAAGAGTCCTGATATGAAGAGCACCACAAAAGTGTAACTTCTGCAGGATCTGCAGAGTGGCAGACCTCCTACGAGTCCTTACTGCTTCTTTTTCTTAGTTTCTTCTGGTTGATCCTGAGTTCTGACTGCAAGGCACCAGAGCTCAAAATAAAGTCAGCATTTTGTTTTCCTAAAGCATCTTGACATTTTGTTTTCCTAAAGCACTCACAGGCATATGTTCTTATTATGATAGAATTTGATAATCTTTTGAAATTAACTGCTGTAGATATTTGACAAGCACAGCTAAGAAGTTTCAAATAAAAGTATTAAGAGATTTTCTGTTTTGTAAAAAGAGTAATTTTTTCACAATGAATTTACTCACAGTTGATACAAACACAGCAGTAATTATCCTGTGACCAACTGAAATCCATCCTGATTTTCAGCCTGTCATGTCTATGTCACCTGAAGAAATTAAAAACATTTGTAGCATTTTTGCTTTGGCTAATTCATTTACGTGGCAGAAGTGGGGCAATGAAAACATCATCTGTTAAACTTTGTGATCTTCTGAATTGATAAATCTTGTCTTCTGTACCTGAGTCCTGTCTTTTCTGACACTGTTGCTTTCTGGTGACAACCGCTGTCGTATCTTCTCAGTATTGTTCTCTTTATTCCTCTGTGTTCTTTCCCCTGTGATAAGTGAATTTATGTGAAGCACTGGGTTGTTTATTTAATGGTTGGAAAGCCTAATAAAACATTGCCAGTGAGTAAGGTGAGAATGTAATTAGAACTCAAAGTGAATTGATCCCCGATGAGGAAGTTTGCTCATCGTAGCCAGAGGATAGGTGCACATTACAATGACAAAGGAATTTCCATTTTCGATTAATGGTTTAGGAGTTAACAATCTGGAAGAACAAAGTGGATATTGAGACAGTGTTTTAATGGAAATCCTGTTCTTTTCAAGAAGAGAAGGTATTCTTTTTCTAAAATCTTTTAGGAAAAAAAAACCAAAACCAATAACCCCCACACAGCAGAGCTTGTCAGAGGGAACATCCTGGCTTCTTTCGAGCTATCAAGAGCAGAATCTCATCTGATTTTGGCAGATATATTATTTTGCCCTAAAAGTTAACCAAAGCATTAGAAATAAACATGGCTTACAGGAAGCTAAGCAAACGGGGAGAATTTCTCCAGGCAATGGAATAAATAAGATTTACTCTCTGTCACCCTGTGCTTTGGTATCCTATGCATAACATAAAATTTAAGGAACCTGAAAGTTTTCAGATAGAAGAAAATGAAGCCAGAGTAACATAAGAACAGTGGTAGTTTTTGAGGCTGGATGTATATGGCAGAAGTCGCTGAGCCCCAGACCTGCTGTACCTTGGTCAGAAACTTGTCACCCTTTCAGCAGACACGGTGCTGCAGTTTACAGCCCAGCATGTTAGCATAAACTGACATCTATTTTAGTTTATCTTAATATGCTGCTCTGTAAACTGCAGTGGTTCAGAAGCTGAGTCACGAACCAGTTGAGCTGTCGCTGCTGGGAAGACAGTAATCTCTGGAGGGGTGGTAAGGCAGACAACTGGGGCCAGTACCAGTTTCAGCACTGTTGTCTTAATCCACTGTTGTGTATATCAACATGTGAGTTACAGCAAAAAATTCTGAGAAAGCCTCGTTACTGACTCACCACAGGAAAGAACTGCTTCACAATACAGACTTAGTTCCTCCACAACTGTCATTACTTTGCAGATGAAATCAGTTGAAGTCATTTTTCAATTGGTTAAAAAAATAACGTGGGTTGGGTTTTGTTTGTTCTTGTAAAAAGCAGCTTTGTGAAAGCAGTAGTAATAGGGGACTGCTGTCATAGCTTGGAGCTGGTTAGGTGGACAACTGGGCTTTTAACACACCCTCTTGCAATTTGGCTATTTTTTGACCTTTCCCAGGAACTGAACCTGTTTGTCACAAGGCCGACACTCAGCAGATTCTGGGAACTGTATAAATATGGAATGTGTAAGGGCTCAACTGCTCCACGGTGCATCAATTTAAACAGCAATCTGTGCAATCAGATCAACTGATAGAAGTGTGTGAGCTAACTAAAAAAGAAATATAAGAATCACTTAAAGAAGACCTGAGGAAAAGTAACATATCTTAAGATATCTCAGTTTAAAATACATTACTGAGGTAATTGGCCTCTCTGCAATAACATCTTAGTGTTGGTAATATAGTAATTGGCTAGTAATAATATCTTAGTATTGGTAATGGTGATGGAAGAAAAGTCAGTCTTCACAGCACATCTGGAATACGAAAATTCAGAAAAAAATACCATCCTAATTTGTATAGCTGTCTGTATATGCGACATTCTAAAGGATTAAAAATGAATTTTAAACAATTATATGTTAATTAAAGATAACCTTAAGTTTGCATTTCTTTATAAATTCTGCTGATGCTTCTTGTAGTCCCTGTTAACATGCAGTTTACATTACAGCTTTTTCATGAAGAATATGTGAAAAGATCTTTAAAAAATGTTTAGCTGAATGACTTTTCTTAGCTGTCAGAATGCAAATTTTATATTGGACTAATTTAGGCCTGGTAATATTGCTGAGATTTAGTAGCTGAGAACACTGACACAACCTCAGATGACCAGATTCATTTTCATTCTATAGTTTTCAGCTGTCATGATATCCATGGTGTCTAAGAGCAGTAATATGGCTTCTCATGGTCAGTGTAACATGAGTGGAATTTTAACCATTAATTTGAACTTGATCAAATCTGAGCAAGGCACAGTGTGTATGTTAAAAATATATTACACAGTGCGTGTGTTAAAACTGTATTTAGTGAAGGATTGCAATGATCTGTGATTCCTGTGATTAATATTAAGTATGTATCATTCCCTTGTATTTCAGTGTTCAAAAGAATCCTGAAACAAAAGAAATAAGCATTACTTCTACTGTCTTCAGAGTGTCTGCATATGTAAGTATTAATTTTTGGCTGGAAGAAGATGCATAACTTAAAAATAATGAATTTATATTTACACATATTACATTTTAAGGAGTTGTTTTTCCATAGCTGTTTTTTTGGTTTTGTTTTTTAATTCATGAACTCTGTGCCTGATCTCATCCTGCTTGCACTCTTGAATAACTCTTCATCAATAATCACCAGCTCTCTAAAAATAGGTTTACTGGATTACAATTCAAGTCATAAGAGTCATCCAGAAACTGGTTTATAAAAAAAAAATATTTATTTAGGACTGAGTAATTCTATTTTTAGATCTACTTGAGATAGAAATAAGGATTAATAAGGATTACTCGTGACTTTTGTATGGTTCTGTTTTTAGAAATGTTTCTAGAGCTGTATGAGTAGCCTGTACTGCAACTGTTTCTGTAAAGACTGCAAGGAAATGTAGTGTACAAAAGGTTGAGGACAGCGAGATGTCTACTAACCTCTCTTCCTCTCTGTAGACAAGTCTCACTCCTTTCTGTTTCTCTTGCAAAATCATCACGATTGCCATCACAACAAATTTGAGAACTGGTTGCATGTTCACTGGATTCAGCATATCCGTAATTTAATTGTTACTACTCCAAAGCCTCCTTGAGTAACCAGAATACGTAACCAGATAATGTTCCCACATCCAAAAGAAATAGCTGATGTCATTTCAGACTGCACAAACTTCCCTTTGGCTTACCAATAGCCCGGTTATTCATTTGTGGGTCATCGTCTTTTAAGTACTGTGTGTAATTCAAAAAGGTTTCTGAAATGTTTTCTACAAATAGGCACTTTACTTATGGATCACAATTCATCTTGCTACCAGGCTGCAGGCTTCAGTAAAAAAAAATACCATAAAAAACCCAAACTCTGATATTTTATTACTGCTTTTCTCCCATTTGCTTGGCAAATGCATTGATGTGTGCTTTACATACTCCTGTATTTTGGTAGATACTTAGATATTTAAGAGCTTCTTTAGCTGTATTTGCCATGCATCAAATATCATCAGCATTAAAAAAAAAAAAAAATGCAACCTTCAGCAACATTTTGAAAACAAAATGGATGGGCAAAAGAAAACCCAGGATAAATACAGAGCATGACACCCTCCCATAGGGGGAAATTTGGCTTTTACTGCATATTCTGTAAACTTGTGAGGTAAGAGCACTTGGAAACTCTGCTTTCCACTAAAGAAATCCTGAAGAATCTTCCCTCAGAACATAAGAAGTCCCAGACAAGCAGCTCTGGGCTGTTTGGTGGTTCTGTGATCCCAAACTCCTAAAACTCTACTTGGAAATTCCAGGCAGGGTACCTACCAGAACACAATTTTGTGTGGTTCTGAGGAAAACATTCACTCAAGATGACCTATTTCTGCAGTAGATAATTTACAGCTATTTTGTCAAATGAACTCAGAATCTGAGGTGGGATCATTTTAATGCTGAGGTAACAGTTTACAAACCGTATTCTCTTGGTTTGCATCTGAAAGAAATGGGTGTAACCTCTTAGCCTGACGTAAAAGAAAGCTGTTCTGCTAAAAGTGAGCTGAACAGCAGCCAGTAAGTTAGAAGTGTCCAAACTGATCTTTGCAAACTGAATTAATAAATGGACAAATAAATACACTTCATTTGTTTGCAGAAATGCAAGTGGAATCAGAAATTAAGTATTTTATATGATGTCATCTTGACAGCATCGCTTTCCTTTTATTTGGTTTTTACATTGTGGCCAGTAAGCCCTTCTTTAGGAAACTGTCTAAAAAAAGAACACCACTAAAATTGGGTAATACAGAGGTTGAACCAGCTGTCAACAATATTGTATGAACATTGTGAGTCATGCCTCCTTTTCAACAAGTCTGTGTCCATAGATACAGAACTGGGTAGTGTGATCGTATCAAAAACAGTGATGGAAACTGATGATGAAAGGAGTATGGCATGGTTAAAAGCAGTTTAGAACGGAGTAGTCGGATCTCAGTATTTCAGAGTGGTAGGGTGTAGTTATGAATGTCTGTAGATCTGTTTGGCATCAAAACTTTGTAGAACCGATCATCATGGGAGAAATACTTTGAATCTTGTGAGCAAACACTAGCAAGAGTGAGTAAGCTCTGGTGCTGGCATAAAATGAAACTGTCTTATAGCTGAAGTATTTGGATGCAAATTTCTTTACCTGAACCCCAACTGTAGCGGTGCTGGGAATCGGTGTGATAAATGGCTCCTTCAACACTTCTTTTAAACTGACGGTGAAGCGGTGCTGTTCTGAGATGCTCAGCAATATCCTTATTTCAGCTTTATGCTGCACGTTTCAGCCATCTGCAGATTACCTGTATGCCTACGAATTAAAAACAAAAAGATCCTAGTCTGTATCAGTAAATCAGCTATTACATCCACTGCATGTCTGAACCAAACTGCAGATTGAATTGGGATGACTCTTAGTCCACGTACACCTACCCCTTCCTATAATGATCAGAGTAACGCTAGTACGTTCTAGTGCTGTTACATTCAAGTCTTTTAGGTGCTTTTTCTTGTTGTTTCTTTGTTTTAAATAGCCCCCTAACTAACTAGGACAGATTTAATAACTTGATTAGATTATTTTCCTCATCCCAGGTATGTTATATTCTGGAATTTCCTGAAAGCTGGTGAGGGGTCTGGAGCACAGGGCTTATGAGGAGCAGCTGAAGAAACTGGGATTGTTCAGTCTGGAGAAGAGGAGGCTCAGGGGAGACCTCATTGCTCTCTATAACTTCCTGAAGGGAGGTTGCAGTGAGCTGGGGGTCGGCCTCTTCTCTCGTGTCATTAGTGATAGGACCAGAGGGAATGGCTTCAAGCTGTGCCAGGGGAGATTCAGGCTGGATGTTAGGAAATGCTACTTTTCTAAAAGAGTGGTCAGGCAGTGGAATGGGCTGCCCAGGGAGGTGGTGGAGTCACCGACCCTGGAGGTGTTCAGGGAACGTCTGGATTTTGTGTTGAGGGACATGGTGCAGTGAGAACTATTGGTGATGGGTGGATGTTGGACTGGGTGATCTTGTAGGTCTTTCCCAACCTTGGTGATTCTGTGAAATACCATCAGAACTTAATTATTTTTGTTCTTAAGTTGATGTGTAAACTTCCGGTGCGCAGCAGCTGCCTTTAAACAATAAAAAAAGGAGTGGAGATTGATTCAGCAAGGACTGCTAATTGGGATCTTCAGAAGCAATACAAATAAGTGTAACTAGCAGTTGTATCCCAATGTCAGTGTTCTGAGTTACGTCTGTTTTGTGCATGAGCTGAGGTCACTTTTGGGTTACACTCCAAGGCACTGTGATGCTGAATGATGTTACGTCTTAAAGCTTGCTCTCTTTACTGCAATAGAGAATCCAGTATCTGATACACACGGATCCCCATAAAACATCTATAAAGAGTTAGGTGTCTAAACCTGACAGCTATGGATCTTGTGTGCTGGGTTCTTTAAAAATAGAATGCTATTTTTAGCTGGCAGCATTTGCCTACCATCAGAAAATGCTGTGAATACACATCTCAAATCTCTACCTGTCTTCAACAATGCTTTATGGTGGTGCTTATCTTAATTTAAGATTTATGGTCTTGAATAATCACTCAAAGGAAGACATCACAGCGTATAGCAGGGGTTTCATCCTCTGAAATAACAGGAGCAAAATTGGGGTGCCTGCAACAGCTACTGGATACACTTCACAGAAGGTCCTGGAAGCAGAAATCAGAACCCAAATCTTTTCCTTCTGAGCTGACAGTGATAAACAAAGGGAAGGTTGCAACTTTCCTGATTCTTTAGTCCAAAAAGGTGTTGTGGGGCAGGAGGAAACCATATTGTGTTTTCAGAGACATGATGTGTGAGCTACATATCTCTTGATCTTTTGGCTGCTCAATCGCCAGACTGAATGCATGAAAACCCAACCAACTGAACCTCCAAACAATCCCCTCAGGGTCCTGGGCTGTGCTGTGTGTTGGGCTGTGCTGCCGGGGAAGCCGGGCAGCAGAAGTGGGTGCTGACCTGTGGACCCACTGCAGCCTGCTGTCAGCTGAAGGAGTTCTTCCAGAATTGGGTTCAGTGCAGGGTGTCCAGGTTCTCCTCGCATACTTTGTGAGCAATGGCACACAAACTGCTTTCAGTAACAGCTCGGAGACATTCAAAGCATTACAGAGGGATTTTCCTTAAGTGCCAAGTGAAAAACAATCATTGGTAGAAGGGCTTTATGCGTTAATATGCAAACCTATGTTTTGTATTTTAATGGTATATGATGGGATCTTTGTGTATTTAATCAGCTGGACTTCAGGCTCCAATCCTACGCTTATGTGCTTAATTCTACATTTTGTATTAACATCGCGTTCATCACAAGGTTATAAAGTTATCGAGGTTGATGATCTGCATTTTGTACTGTGAGTATTGTAACGGAGACAAAAAGCTACTGCCATAAACCACAGCGTTCCTTCCATTGCGCCGTAAGTCGTCGGAGTTGAGCATAAAGCTGCATCGCACTCCGGTTTCACGGACTCTCCCGGCGGGACCCACGCTGTACGTAACGCCGCCGCTTTTTCCCTCCCCTCAGGACAGCAGCGGCCTGTGCTACCCGTCGCGCACAGCCCACGCCCAGACCTTCTGCTATCTGCTGCTGGACCCGGCCCGGCGCCACGTGCACGCGCTGTACCACCGCTTCGGGGGCGGCGCGCCCTGAGCTCTGCGCGGCGGGCGGTGACAGAAGGCTTCGTGCGAGGCGCGTGTCAGGCACGGCCCTCGCTGCTGTTTTCCTGGGGTTTGACCCTCCTGCGTCTTTCCTTACTTTTTCCCGAGTTTTGGCCAATCTAATAAAAGTAACTTCTCCAGATGTGGCAGCGCGCGCGTCCCTTCCAGCTGCAGGGCCGCTCCCCCGCCCCGCCGCCAGGTGAGGCCGAGGCCCGGCGCCTCGCCGCCTCGCTCCCGCGGGCGGCGTCGCGCTCCCCCGTTCTCCTCTCCCCCCCCCCCCCATCTCCCACAGAGGGGGGCTGTCCCCTTCCGGGGCGGCGGGGGAGGGGAGCGTCGCAGCTCTTCCCCACCCCCTCGGCGGGAGCTTGGAAGTTGGGAGAGAAGTTAGGGAGAAATAAAAGTTGTGGTTGGCGGCGCGCCTCCACGACCGGGAAGTGCGGGCGGGCAATAGAAGGGAGACGGGGCGGGCGGGCGCGCGGAGAGCGGCGCTGTGCCGGCGGGACGAGCCCGGCCGCGAGGAGACCGCGAGCCGCGCGCCGTGAGGGGAGGGGGGCCGGAAGGCTCCCCGTGCTCCGCGGCGCCCGGTGGGCGGGAGGCGGTGCGGGCGGGCGCGAGCAGGAGGGCCGCGCGGCGCAGGGCCGTCTCGGTCGGATACGGTGCGGGCGGGCTCAGGAGGGGCGGAGTCGGCCGCCGAGAGCGATTCGGGCGGGCGTAACTGCGAACTTTTGTTTGGAGTGTTGCGCGAGTTAGTTTCCGCCGCCGGGACGGAGGCGCCGGCCGGGCTGGGCCGGGCTCGGGGCAGCGCCGCGCAGTCGGAGCCGTTTCGCCTGTCCCCGCCGAGGGGTAGGAAGAGCCGGGGACGGCGGGACGAGCCGTGGCGCGGGGCATGCGGGGCCGGCCCCGCGCGCTCTGAGCCGCCGAGCCCCGCGAGGAAGCGCCGGGGGGTCCCGTCGCAGCCATGGATCCCGGGCAGCCCCAGCCGCAGCAGCCGCCGCAGGCGGCGCAGCCCCCGGCCCCGCAGCAGGCGGCCCCGCAGCCCCCGGGCGCGGTGTCGGGAGCTCCGGGAGGTGCCGCGCAGCCGCCGGGCGCAGGCCCCCCTCCGGCGGGGCACCAGATCGTCCATGTGCGGGGCGATTCCGAGACCGACCTGGAGGCGCTCTTCAACGCCGTGATGAACCCCAAGGGCGCCAACGTGCCGCACACGCTGCCCATGCGGCTCCGCAAGCTGCCCGACTCCTTCTTCAAGCCGCCCGAGCCCAAGGCTCACTCCCGCCAGGTAAGGGGGGGCGGCCGGCCCGGCGTTGCGCCGCGATCTCCGATCTCCCTCCTCCCTCTTTCCCTCCCTCCTTCCCTCCGCGCCGCCGCCGGGCTCCTCCCGTGAGTGAGTGAGTGAGTGTGAGTGTGTGTGTGAGTGTTTGGGGGGGCAGGGAGGCAGGGAATCGGGGCAGGGAAGGGGCCGGGGCGGGAATCCGCCCTCAGTGCGGGCGGGGGGCGCGGGCCGGCTGCGCGCTGCCTTCCTCCGCCTCCTCCTCCTCCTCTCCCCGCTCCCCCCGCCCCTCCGAGGGGCCACCGTCCCGGCCCGGGCTCCGGGCGGCCCTCGGGCTCCGCATCCGCCCCGCGGCCCGGCCGGGGGGAAAGGCGCGGGGAGGCCTCGGAGCGGTGCGGGGAGCGCCGCGATGGAGGGCTCCGATCCGCGCTGCGGGACGGCCCGCCGGTGGGGGGTGTCGTGAGGCCGTGCCAAACTTTTTTTTTTTTTCCCCAAGCAATATGGATGTGGCTCTTCCACCATTTCGTCGCCACGCTGTGTCGGCTCCGGCCGCGGGGCTCCCGCGTGCCCCGCGATGAGGGCAGCGGCGCTCCGCCGCCGTTCCCCGGTGCCGCTCAGCCGTAACTGCGAAGTAACGACCTTCTTTCTGAGCTGCAAAGTCGGTTTTGTTGTCGGCCCCTTGGCGCTGTCTGTGCAGCCGGAGCGAAAGTCGCTCCGTGTCGCGGCGCCCGCTTCGCGAAGGCCTTCGCTATTGCTGCGATCGCGGCTCCGCTCCCGGCGCTTCGTGCCGCGGCACGGGTTAATTCATTTCCCACCTACTCGAAAAGCAGCCCGGCCTTCGCACCGTGAGACCGGAGAGGGAATAGCAGGGGTGGGGCTGAGCTGCTCCTGTGGTTTTTTTCCTCGCTTCTGAGCTGCAGACTTCCTAATTGCACTCTGAATCCAACAGTGAACAGGGTTCCTTCAGATTGCTCTCGTTGGTGTGAGTTGTATCGCAGTTTGGCTATGCAGAAGTGTAGGCTGCACATGCTCAGCTGCTACTTGTTGCTGTGTCTTAGTAAACACAGTATCTACCTGCAGTTAAATATCATGTTCAGAAAACATTTAATTTTCATGCAGGTGTTGCACTTTTACTTTTGGCTCCGCATTCTCTGTGTGTGCTCCTTCCTTGAGTTCTCATCCCACTCGGGAGTTCCAACAGTGCAACCTTGAGGTCCAGCTGAAGGCAGAGAACCATTACTCCATTGTTGGCCATCTTTTGATAGTTCCAGTTCTCCCTGTTTGTTCATGTGTGACATAAAATATTGTTAATCAGGAAAGGACTTCCTACTTCTCTTTTTCTCAAGAATTAAAGCTCCTCAAATTCCATACAGTTGCATCTCTTACACTGTGCTTAAATGTAAAAGTAAGCTTGCTTGCTCCAGTGTAAAAAATGTTGTGTTCACATACAGATGTGTCAAAATGTCCCCATAGGAGAGTGTAAGTGGGGCCTCGTATGGTGCAATACCGGCATGGAGAGGTGTGGCTGGACTGCTGTGTGCATCTTAATGCAGGTGGCCGTGTTGTTCTGGGATATCTGTGAGATTTAATTAACTGATAAATACACAAAAAAGGATTTAAACCCAGCTTTCAGGTCTGCTTTGTCTTTTTGGCTTTGGACATATATTTCCTACTGCCAAAGAAGCTCTCGTGCTTCAGTCTGGCAGTTCTGTGAATGGTCTCTGAGTCACTTCTGATTGACTGGTCAAACAGTTTGCGGAAGCTTTCTTTAGATAAAGCACTGGCAGGCTCTTTGTGAGTGCCCTTAAAGAGCAGTTGGTGTGCAGGTTAGGAAATTCTGCGCTCAGCCTTTTGTAGCTCTGGTGGTTGAGTTCAGGAGTTCTCTGTCTCTTGGGGCTCATTGCCATCAACGGACACATCTCTCTTACTTTTCTCTTTGCCCGTTCCTTAAACCCATGCAGAAGGTTTATGTGTGGGTGTCCTTGCACCCCACACCCCCATTTCAATAAGGTGGTGGAAAATTACCTCCGTCAGCAGAAAGTGATGGTGATGGGTGGGTGCAGCCCAGCAATGAGCCACGCAGCGTGCCGTGCTCAGTATGCTGGCTGTAGGCTGCCTGAAGCCTGCACCAAGGGGCAAGAACTTCAGTTTTCAACACAGAACTTAAAGCAGTTACTGAATACTTATAGTTGATATTTCTTGGCTTGTACGGGGACTTGTCTGATGCAAATTAACCAACTGCAAAATACGCGTAACTTTAGAAAGACCAACTCGGGAATTTCATCTGAAAGATTCCTTGAAAGAGCAGTGCCTTTGGACAGAAATGCAACAGGACAGATGCGTTTCTGCTGAAGTACAGAAATCTGAATGGGAATCCTTTCACTCCCGACAGGCCAGCACTGATGCAGGGACAGCAGGAGCCCTGACCCCTCAGCACGTCCGTGCTCATTCCTCTCCGGCATCCCTGCAGCTGGGGGCCGTGTCCCCTGGCACGCTCACACCCTCTGGAGTAGTGACTGGACCTGGAGCGCCGTCTTCTCAGCATCTCCGCCAGTCTTCGTTTGAGATCCCTGATGATGTACCTCTGCCACCGGGCTGGGAGATGGCCAAGACACCATCTGGACAGAGATACTTCCTTAAGTAAGTATACTTTTTTGGTTGTTGTTATTTAAGTATTTGAATTTTTCTTTGAAATACAAGTCTTAGAAACAACCTCCTGATTTTTAGTAGGAGAAAAGATCCTACCGCTTAGGAATTCTCCCATATCAGTTCTACTCTGTCTGGAAATTGTGTGATGCTCAATGAGTATTTATCCCATCTTAGTCTTGGTTGAAGAATGTTGTATGTTACATTGTGCACTGAAAACGAGTGAAATGCATGTAGAGATTTTTGAACGACGTGACTCTTCCACTTGCTGGATCTTGCCAGCTTTCTCATTTGGGTCAAAATACATTATACCTTATTTTTATGTTACAGATGTAAAACTGTAATAAAGTAACTTTAGACTCTGTTGTGGCGGGAACATGTCAGGACTTCTTATTTTATCACTAAGTACAATTGTGTAAATGCAGAGTCAAAACATTTTTGCCTGCTCTGTACTCATGAGGACATGAACGTATGTGTTTGATAACAGTATTTGGGTCTGTAACTCTGAACCCATCTGCCTTCCTTGCAGTGAAATGGGAATTGCAGAACTTCTAACGCTGTTTCTTCTTCTGGCTGTGGCTTTTTTGTGCAGTGAAATCAGTACCACCTTCTGTAGAACAGAGGAGAGGTGGCATATGCCAGCCACGTGGCAGCCAGACCATTGGGGAGCGTTGGGTTTTCTTTCCATCCCTAGAACAGCAGAAGCTTGTCCTTCATTCTGAAAGCGTGCCCACCAGGACATGTGATTGGCCTTCAGATACTTTGACTGTATTTTGAATATTTTATTGAACTGGAAGGCTCTAAATAATCCATTGTGTGTCGTTTCCAGGGCTGGGAGAGGGGAGAGGCAGCACAGTGTGTTATTTACGTAAAACTTGCTTCTGCCAAATAAAATATCTGTATTCCTACCTTTCTTGCTAAAGCTATCACTGATACAAACTCAGATACTTCAATCAAATGTTGCTTTTAAAACTAATCTGTTGCCTTCAGTAAAAATGGACACTGTAGAATTTCTTAAAACTCTTACTTATTCCTACAGTGGTGTTTTCATAAGGAGAAATTAATATCACTTATCAGAACCCAAACTGAGTTGCAGCAGTTGTCAAATTGTTTGAGCCTTAATGCCAATTTTTGAAAACAATAATTTTGCATTAGAAAAGCAAAAATGAGAATTGCATGAAGTTGTCAATGATGTGATGCCTTCTTTGCTAGACTTTAACAAATCAGTGTGTTCCAGAATGCATTCTTCAGTGGGCACAAGTAGAATTTTGGGAACAATGCAAGTTTGTGCCATTCGAGATTGGTAGCTGGTTGGGCCTTGAGGAAAGCACAGGCTGAGTTCTTCAGTGAAAAGCAGGTTTAGTTGTTTTGACTGTGCTGGTGAAAACTCTTTAAGAGCAGCTTACCAGTCACGGAAAGCAGTTGTTTTCAAGTTTGCTGTCACAATTGTTTCTGATAACATTTTTTTAAAAAGTAGAGCAGTTTGAGAGGTGCAAAGTGTCTTTACGTAAAAAGTTAATTTTGTTGTTGATTTTTTTTTTTTTTTTTTTTTTTTAATTGTGGCTATTGAAGTGAAATTAGTGATAGTTTTGATCTTGGAAAGCTTTTCTGCAGTTTCGTTATTACCACCAAAAAATCTTTTCCTTTTTTTTGCAAGCTTTTTTTGTCCTCTCTTGGTGTTCTGGTATCCATTTCAAAGGATCAGGTTTCAACAAGAACAATAAAGAGCCTGAGACTGGAAAGTACACACAAGTCTGGCAAACTCATCTGCATGAGCAAGATCGTTTGTTCTCAATCAGACATCCAAAGTAAATGATTGAAAGAGCTGCTAGCTGTGAAGGATGTGTCTTGAAGGGGAAAGGAGTGGAAACAAACCAGGTTGTTAGGAGTGAAAATAAAGGCTGTACTTTCTGAACCTCTCCCTGCTGGGTCACATGCTGACCTTGGAGATTTTAAACAGCTTAATGGGCTGTTTTCTTTTGGCTTTCCTTGGGTGATGCTGTGGTATGGGAGAGTCTAATGAGGACAGTTCTGAAGACTGTTACGTTCTGTTCGCCAAGCGTTGTTGCCCCTAAAAGGTCGTTCAGTGCTGTCTGCAGGTGAGATCCCCTAACTTCATTGGAGTCCGTTAAGATTTGTATAAAAGAAAAATTACAAAGCAAATGTTTTGCTAGTATTCGATTTTTAAGAAGTTCAAAGAAATTTTAAGTAGAAAGTTTATGTTTCAGGAGTCTTTTTTCAAGTGCTGAGTGACAAGTTCTGTCTCAAATGTGCAAGCCTGTTACAATCATGTCTCATCTGGTTGTGCCTTAAGCTTCTGCTCAAAGCACGAGGACTGAAAT